CCCCAAAACCCCAAAACCCCAAAACCCCAAAACCCCTTTCTAGAAATCATAAATGAATATTTAAATTAATTTTGTAAACTATTGGAGCGATAATGGAAAGTAAGCCAATTTTGATGTTATGGAAGTCAATCCTCAGCTTCATAGGGAAACACTCCTTTTGAGTATTGAGATTTAGTCATAGTTCCAGAAAGATAATGTTCATCTATAGTATCCAGTTCCTTGAAGAAAAAGTTTAATTATGAACCTAAATATGTCAAGTCTATTGATGAGCTAGGTAGCAAAGACTTCATTAATGACAGTGATTATGAAGATAGCGAGGTATGGAATTCCTACCTATTTTTGATGGAAGTTAGTCATCTGTCTATAGAATTTTATAAATGAACAGCAATTCTCTAATGTCGATGAAAATCCAATGAGAAGTTGTACAGGAGATAAAAGTACAGATTTATTCGAGTTATATATAGATTCTTCAATGACCTCAGCAAGAGTGATAAAACCATTTCATTTTAAAAGCCATATCGAAATTCAATCTCCTCTCATGAAAGATCTGAAATCTCCGAAGAAAAAGGAGGAAGATTCTTTTAAATGAGTGAAGAAGGAACTTTTTAGAGATTCAAGTCCAGAAAGCCTAAACTCCCAAGAACTTCTAAATGATATTAAAGAGAGTAAGCATCTTCAGGCCTAATTCAGGTTTACAGGATCTTTTATCTTAGAATTTTCGTAAAGTAATTATAGATTGAAGATCATTTAAATATACAGAACACCAAAATGATTTCGAGATTGATAAATCCTTTGAGATGCCAGATGAAGATCTTGACGAAGGGTACACCTACAATCAAAATCTATCTGGCCCAGAGCATACTCCAGAAATATCCAAATCAATGGCTGATCAGAGAATTCCGAGTAAGAAGAAATTAACTCAGAATATTTCTAAATAAACCGATAAAATCAAGCTATCGAACTCATCATAATAAAAGTAGTGGAGACAGAAAATCTATCTTCAGCTCAATATGTTCCAAAAGCCCTAAGAAGGACCTGAACACCTACAAGTCAGTGTCTAGTCTTAGTTATTCGAAAAATTTTAATAAGCGAATGAGGAAATATCAGAGCCAGAAGCAACTTAAAATGACTCAGAAGCAAGAAGATAAACATAAATAAAGAACTGAAAGAATGTACCTTCAAGCCAAAGATATCCAAAAACAAATCAGCAGGTGGCCTCACCACTAAACAGAGACAAAGTTCCTCCCGCAGAAGAAACATTACAGAATTCTTAAAGGATCAATCTAAGTTCGAAGAACAAAAGCTTAATAGACTGAAGGATTTTTCCCAGAGAAGAGAAAAGAAGGAAAACAACACTTTCAGACCTAAAATTGACCGAAAATCTAAAGGCTTGACTAAATCCATCACTGACTCTCTTCACTCAATCCCTGCATACAAACGTCTGCACAAAAACGTCAAAACCAGCTTCCGAAACAGCCACATCCCTCCCTCCAAAATCTCAAAATCCCACAAAAATTCCACTCATCCCAAGCCTCCCTTCAAATCCCAAAAATCCCTCCATACCACACACAAAATGCCTTCTTCCTTCCTACAAAATCCTAATTCTAAATCTCAAAATCTGAAATCTCTTCCTACTTCTTACGGCAAAGCGAAATCTAAGCGTAAAAGGAATTACATAACTGAGAATTTCGATATTGAAGAACTTTTTAAGAAAGCTGCAGCTGGGGAATTCAAGAGGGATGCTAAACAGATTTATAGAGATAAGACGTATAACTATTTGTATAATGATGCGGGACATAGAAAATCGAGGCAAGAAAAATAGAAAAAATGAGTTTTATGAGAGCAAAAATCAATCTGTAAGTTTTTTTTATGTAAGTTCATCTTTTGTAAAGAGAAATTATACAATGAAGAATTCAAAGAGTAAGAAAATGCTCTCAGGGGGAACACAAGGTGCGAAAGCTGCTAGATTATCCAAAGGAAGCCCAAAATACTGCATTCCAAATTCCAGAATCTACAAATGAGCTTCTGCTGCTTATAATGACAAGTTCAATGATCTATACAAGAAAGCCAGACTTAAGAAACATAATCAGAAGAGTATAGATAGAGGCTCCTCTCGAGCAAGTGAGGTAGAGAGCAAAGTAGGTAAGCAGATTGAGTATCGGAAGGATTCTAAACAGGAAAGCATACCTGAAGTGACAAAAGCGGAGAACAGGCGTGGTAGTAATAAGATTAGAGATATTGGGACGAGGGACGACCAAGAAAGCGATAAGCACACTCCTGATTGTAGTGTGATTAATCTAGATAATGAGCCGAATATGCGTAATAAGCTGATCGAAACTCCTAAGACGGAGGAACTCGAGGAGGAAATGAGGGATCAAGTTCTGGATTATCAGAATATTATGCACTATAACATACCTTCTTCTCTTTCGAATGGTATGATTCCGGATTTTACTCCTGGTTGTCCTCAGAATCATAGCTTTGGTGGATCTCCAGAAACCTTTTCCCCTTCGAATAAAGACGTTGAATATGTTGATAACGATTATGACTGAGAAGACAATCCCCTTCTCTTTGTTGATGTCAATCTAGGACCTGACAAAGCAGAGCGAATTGTAGTTTTTGAAGGAGACACAGCTGATGACCTTGCCTACAGATTCTCTCAAAGACATGATCTAAATAACATCATGCGTGCAAAACTCACAAGCTTACTAGAAGCCGAAATTTCTAGCCTAAATAATGACTTCTAACTCCTTCAACTTTTCCACCTCCAAAAGGGGTTTTGGGGTTTTGGGGTTTTGGGG